GCAGCTCGGTCTGAGAAAAGGCCTCATGGTGAATCAGGGTCTGATCAACCAGGCTGTTACTGCGGGCCGCAACCTAAGGAACCAAAAGGGTTGACCTACCACAAATCTGTACACTAAGGAACCAACCCTAACCTGAACCTCACAAGCTAGAGAGCACTGCAAGAATCCTAATAACCCTTGCCAAATGTAATATGTACCTGTGGCATGCAAAGAGTACGTAACCTTTATTCGGCGCATGTACACACCCTCATTGAAAGGCTATCTCCCCCAACCAGCGAACCAGGTACTAAGGGTTGATGATGGGGCCCTGTCGTTCAATCAGTATCCAGATTCCAGCTAATGAGAAAATGGTTTTGGCAATCGCAGATTTGATGTGGGTACCACTCACCTGTCTGCCCTTGTCATTCCCATTCTAGAGCTGGTTGAAGCACGGTCTGCTCTCTAGTGGCTTCTGTTCTGCCTTGCTTACTGTGGAGTGCACTAATGCCTATTGTTGTACATAGTGTATATAGTGTACATACTTCTGTTCTAAATTGGTGAAGGATAATACAAGTCGAAAGTTTTTCTGCTGTGTTTATTTTGCTCCCTTTACACCCAGGATAACAGGCCTTTGGGACTCCTGGGTTGTATTAGTACCAAATTTATGTACAGTATACTTACAACTTATGTAGACCAGAGCTAAGAGACTGAACACCCTTCATAAAAAGCTATAATTTTAATCATACATCATTAACAGGACCCACCACCACCACCTCATTGGTTAAACTATAGGAGGTGCTGTCAAAAAGTTCCCGGACAGCCACGAAAATATGTAGGCGTACTTAATCACCTAGGTAGAGTTATCTCCCTCGAAGTACTGTCCTTGGGAGGCTATACACTGATCCTAGCGCCTCTGCCACTTCTCAAAACATTTCTGGAACTCTTCCTAGCAGCGTCTAGCACAGCCTGTTAGTCTGCTTGAATCGCCTCTACATTGTTAAAATGCCACCCTTTAAGTGTCATTTTTATTTCTGGGAAGTAAAAAGTTACAGGGGGCTAGATCTGGGGAATTGGGAGGGCGGGGGTACGACTGCTATGTTATTAATGGTCAGAAAACGATGGTCTCGAGTCAGCTGGGTACAAATTTCGCAGCAACTCGTTTCATGCAGGGGCGTAACTATGGAAAGTAGCACCTATGGCAAGCACTGAAATTGCGCCCCTGTCCAAACTTCTGACACCCATCTTTTAGACAACTTTACATAAAATCAGCTCAAAAATACAAGTCAAGCTCATTAATCTTCTACTTAACAAATTATGGCACTACATGAAAATCACAACCGCACCTTGCTTTAACTGACGGAAATTGGTCTATGATGTGTTCAAATCCATTTTTTTTTTTTCAGTTTCTCCCCTTTCTACACTCAGCAGAGCAAGATCACAGAGTCTGCCTTGACCCATGGAGGCTCTCATATATGAAACTTGCCGAATGATCTCTCACAACTGGCGATGGTTAGCATTATCTGAATATTATAATCAAAAAGAACCGCTAAGCCACAAGGGCTATACAGATTATCTGAATAGCAATGCAAAGAATGGGGAAGACGCTCTCATCTCCATACTGAACAATAAATTCGAGCTCTTCGGGTCTTTGATATTTTCATGTTGGCCCAACTTGATATCAACAATCTGTAATTCAAAATTTCTTCGTGTAGCTGCTGTCCATCAACCCCAGAGTTGTACAATTCTCCCAAATTTTCGCACTTCTTCTCTAAGTCGTTACTGTCGGTGCCAAAACAGTCCCTTGACATCGAGAAGGAACTCAAAACTTGGCGTCAGTGTCGTGCAAACAAGCGAACTTTTAATCTGTTACTCTGGGAAGATGGTCGAGTGTTCCCTTCATGACTTAACATTTCTTCGGTGACTATCAACTCAGCGCCTCTCGAGCTTTTATCAGCCATTCATTTCTTTCTCGTTTCTGACGTCTTTCAACTTCAATATTCCATTCTTGACAGAGACTGAGTCCTTCTTCGAGTGACTCACTGACCAACACTACTATTTCATCATCAAAATAATCTCGGAGGGTTTTCAAATCCAGGGCAGCATCGTGGAAATTCATGCTAGGATCCTGCAGCCTCTTTTGAATATGTTCAATGCAAATGAGTACTTTGTTCCAAAAACCTAGCAAGTCAGATCCTAACTCATGATGCGGTTAACTCCGACTTAACAACCACAGGCACGGCGTTTTTGAGGTTTTCCCAGCACTGTGTTGAACGAGAGAAGAACACGTAAAGAGCTTCGATGGTTCCAAAAAACGTGACCATCACTGTATCCTGTTTGGCTGCATGTACATCCACCACGTTGGGTGAGTGAAGTATTCTCCAATGGTGATTATAATTGTTACCTTAATTTTTAAAGGTTCCAGTGACGGGTCATCGGATGACAACCACGTCAGGAAACCACTGTCCTGTTTCCTGACAAGTCTTACCTAACTAGACTTGTCTAATTCTTAGGTAGCATGTAAGCCTTATTATTAACTGCCAGAAATACATTGCACAATTAGTGGCTTTATATGTCTATTATATTCGTACATGTATCTACAATTCTACATTACTTGTATGTCTCGGATAAATAAAAAAAAATCTTTAGTTCATATTTGTACACCTCCCACCTTGGATAGTTGATGCATTATTTACAATTTGTGTAGACAGCTTTTTCTACACTTAAGCACATAAAAATTTAGCAAGAAACCGTCTCAATGCTGTAGCCGTTTCTAAACAAAAAAAAACTTGTTTCAGCATAACTAATGAACGTCAAGAACAAAAGAACCACTAAATAAGACAGGTGTATTTTATTCTGTAGAATTATAAATGAATACATATAAATTCTTATTCATAAGTGGTGAAAAATTAAGACATCGAGGGGAAGGGGGGTACTGGCACTTGAAAACGGTTAAGAACCACTGAATTACATACATCTTGGATCAACACTGTATAAAAAAAAAAAATTGCCTCGACTTGACCCCCAAATCCAGAACTCACTCGGCATTACCCCTAGATACCGACCTCACCTGGTGTTACCTGACCCCTAGATCCAGATCCCACCTGGCGTTACTTGACCCCTAGATCCAGACCTCACCTTTGCTCAGCATCTGACCTTCCCTGACCATCTATGCATTAAAAGTTAATAATTGTGTGTGCTCCTTATACTTGATAAAGGTCACGGTGCGTGAAATGATATGCAAGTGAAAGGCTATTTTTTATTTTGTATGTACATTTTTCTACTAGCTTATAATCATTATTTCTTAGGTTGATTGTCGGCAGACATGATATGAAAGTCAGTAATCCGTACATGTAGGAGTGGCTAATGCAAAATAGTGTATGACTGGAGTTACTGGGAGTAAACATTAAAAACAATGACAGTAAGCGTAAGGGGAAAGTTTTGCGGGACTGCAGTAATGAAAAGGTTATTCAACACTGTACACTGAAAATTCGCAGTCACAACATACGACTCTTACTAATTAAAAATTCAACAAAATTAAAAATCACAGTCAATAAAGCAAATATAGCATAAAAGTAATATATATATATATATATATATATATATATATATATATATATATATATATATATATATATATATACACATACATACACATACATACATACATACACACACACACACACACACACACACACACACACACACACACACACACACACACACACACACACACACGTTTCCTTAAAATATCGCTGAAGTCCAGTGATTATAAAATCCATGATGAAGCCTAAATTGCCAAAACCTTAGATATAATAGTAATATGTGTATCATAGTAAGTAGCACGAAGCAAGTCGTAGAGAAGCAGGATTCCCTGGGTATGGTGAGTAACAGGAAGGAAGGGAGGCCATGGTTACCTGGAGGTTATTCCGGGGATCAACGCCCCCGCGGCCCGGTCCATGACCAGGCCTCCCGATGGATCAGGGCCTGATCAACTAGGCTGTTACTGCTGGCCGCACGCAGTCCAACATACGAGCCACAGCCCGGCTGATCCGGCACTGACTTTAGGTATCTGTCCAGCTCTCTCTTGAAGGCAGCCAGGGGTTTATTGGCAATTCCCCTAATGCTTGATGGGAGGCTGTTGAACAGTTTTGGGCCCCGGACACTTATGGTGTTTTCTCTTAGTGTACCAATGGCGCCCTACTTTTTATTGGGGGGATTTTGCATCGCCTGCCCGTCTTTTACTTTCGTAGGGAGTGATTTCTGTGTGCAGATTTGGGACCATTCCTTCCAAGATTTTCCAAGTGTAGATTAGATAATTTTTCTTCCCTCCTGCGTTCCAACGAGTACAAGTCAAGTGCTTCCAAGCATTCCAGCAGTTAAGGTGCTTGACAGAACTTTACGGCAAAAAAGGATCTCTGTCATCTCAGTCTGCGATTTCACCTGCTTGAATGGAGTGTTAATGACAGCATATTCCCCAGCCTAGAGAAAAACAAGTGATTTGAAAAGGATCATCATGGGCTTGTCATATCTCGTTTTGAAATTTTCTCTTATCCACCCTATCTTTTTCTTTGCACGGCGATGTGGCATTTTGTGATCCTTGAAAGGGGAAAGCCTCGACATTACTACCCCCAGGCCCCTTACTTTTTTTTTCCACTCTATTGTATGCCGGGTAGAGTATACTTGTTCCAGTTTTTATCTCCTCCGTTTTCCCAAAAGGAGTGTTGGAATTT